AGGAAGGTAGTCATGATACTTGATCCCAGTAACTCAGACTAAGATGTTATTGACTGAAGAACTGGGGTCAGGAATGGGCAGCCTGCTTCTGTAAATTTGTTATTGCTATTACAAATTCTGTAAATTTGTTTTTGCTACATAACAAACAACCCCAAAGCTTAGTGGTTTAAAATAAAACTTTATTATATCTGACAGTTCTGTGATTTGACCAGGCTCATGTGGGTGATTTGCACTTGGAATGGCCCATGCAGTTGCAGTGAGATGTGGCTGGGCTGGAGTTAACTGAAGGCTCACTGGAGTGGGATACCCAAGGTGGTACCCTCACATGACTGGCAGTTGATGCTTGCTGAGAGTTCAGCCAGATTTGTTGGCTAGAGCACCTAAACGTGGCTTCTTCCTGTCTCTGAGACTGGCAGAAGAAACTTCCAGCCAGTGAAGGCTACTCCCGGAACTGGCCTAGTGTCAGTTTCATCTATTCCACTGGTTTAAACAGGAGTGGATCCTGCTCAGTTTCAAAGTGCTGATGAAGGAAATTCCCTCTTTTGTCAGACAGGTGTCAGGGTCGTGTGGGTTGTGGCCATCTTTGGAAAATAGAGTCTTCTGCACTGAGCCTTAATTTCATTTATAAAGGAAAGATAACATTATCCAATAGAGTTGTAGATTCAAGGATGCAATCAGATAAGATATTACCCAGCACAGTGTCTCGGTATTTAACAAATGATGAATATGGTCTGTGTCATTGTCTCCAGATTTTGTACTAGTTCCATCCTGGCTATAAAACTTCTAGAATACCTTAGCCTGGTACTTTGGCATCATTACTACCAGGTAATGATGCTCCTCTTAATATCTGCCAAGGAGATGAGGCGAATGGATTCCATAGATTGGATCATCACGTATTTGAAAAAAGCACTATGGATCAGAGGAAGCCTTGAGTGACTTGGGAGAACCAAGTCATTTTTTCTCTTCTCTTTGCTGTACAAAGATTAAAAAGCCTTGGATCCTTGAGGCCAAATTTCTCTTTGATGTCCTTGCAAATATTACATTGTATCTTTAAGTGGAGGTTTATCCAGGTTTGATGGCAGAATGTTGCATCTCATTTGTTTCCACAGGGCTTAAATTCAGAGAGGAGAGAGATTTAGGGAAACTTGCCGGGGGCATAAGTATGAAGTCTTATCTTATGATTCACTATAAATTGTAAGATGTTCTGGAATGATGATACATCAGCAGTTTATAAGTCATAATTTTTGTTTTAATTTGCTAGACATCTGTTAGCTTCGATGGCAACCATATGGGAGTCTAAACTGCCTTTTGAATTACAAGGAGATGGTAGGAAGAAAGCTAAATATGGTTATGAAAGTGTCAAATGGGAAAAGTGTAAGAAGGGTGTATAGACCTAAGTGGGGAAAGTAATTGAATACTGACTTGCTTGCTCTGGTCTCTCACTCCTGGGTCAGTGAGAAAGCACTGAAGCATTCTCACTTGATATGCCTGGAAGATTGAAATAAAGCCAAGGGGAAAAGTTGGAAAACGAAATAATGTTTCACCCACCATAAAATTGCCGAGGTGAGCTCCTTTAGATGGATAACTCTGTCTTACTTAATATGTCCACAGTAATCGTTAGTCCCTGGCAAAAGGTGAAAGTAACCTGTATTTTAACGGAGCTTTATAATTACGACGTCTTTCTTCTAAGCATCTCAAAGCATCTTCCAAGCATATCATGACATCTTTGTGACAGATGTAGAAATTGGAGAACAGAGACGTGGAGTGACTTTTGAAGAACGTATCAGGGTTCACTTTTGGAGTGTTAAGTCTCTTTCAATAACTATAGCCCTAGCTTCTCATTTGAATCTTATTTTAGAAGATGCTTGTTATTCTAAAATAAAACATCAAGTAAGTCATTTACATCTGTTCATAATTGAAAAGTGATAAAGTTTTTGCATATGTCTCAACACCACCCGCAAGCACACAAAAATTAGGATGAAAATGTTAAAGAGTATGATAGAATAATAAACTATTGTGTAGTCTACTGAAAATTCATAAATGAAAAATGGAGTATTAAAGACTGTTACTAAAGTGTTATTAAAGTGTTCTTGAATCACATGCTTCTTTCTATGTGTAACACTGATGCCTGTCTTAAAATTCTAACTGCAGGCTTCTGAATCACCATCCTTCTCTAGAATATAAGGTCTCCAACTGCAGGGACTGTCTCTCAATTATTTTCATAAGCTCAGTGTCTAGCATATTGTCTGAAACAGTAGGTGTTTAATAAATGTTTGTTGAATGAAATCATTGGAGAGTACATAGGCATCATCTCCTGTAACTTACTATTCAGTGAGGCATTTTCTCTTGAACATCCTGCCAACCCTCCTTAGGGTGGATCTGTTTGGGCACCACTTTAAT